GATATAAATAATTATATTTTTTGACTTTTTATAAAAGTATGTGCAAAAAAATAAAGAGGTGATATGACACAAACAAATATATATTTTTAAATGAGTATACTTATTTAATTTATGCCAAATAATTTGTAAGTATGTATGTATATACTATTTATTTTTATAATCAGGGAGGGAACGAAGGAAGTGAGATGAGAAAAACAACTAACCTTTCACTTAATTTCTTATAGGGATGGAAAAACTCCATGAATCTGGATGGAAGAAACTTGTAAGTGGAATTATTGGTCCTGTTTGGCAAGTTGGGTTTGGATTTGGGTTTTGGGTTTTTTTTTTTTATACTAAAATTCACAATTACACAAAATATATTAAAATATTTAATAAAATAAAATAGTATATCAAATTTATAATTATTTTACTTTTTATCTTATAAATATTAAATTTAATTATAAAAAAATTTAATCATCTCTCCAAACATAACAATTTTAATCTACTAAACTAGTTAAAAATTAAAATAATTTTCTAAAATAGTTAACTTTTCAAACAAGGCAATTATGTTATTAATAGTATAATTATTGTAATTTAATTTGCTAATTTTCTAAGCCTATGTTTGGGAAGTAGATTTTGGGTTTTTTTGGCTGAAATAGCTACAAAAAGTAAAATAAATCTTTTAGCTTAATAAGACAAAATATCACATATAACTTGTAATCATTACATTCTTTCTCTCATAAAAAAATTAAAAAGCCAAAAAAATCAAAAGTCTTTTTCAAACCAGACTTTTTAGCCTTTGACTAAAATAGTTAAAAAAATTTAAAATTTAAAATTTAAAAAGTCAATCCACTCCCCAAATCAAGCCTAAAATAGTTAACTTTTCAAACTAGGCAATTATGTTATTAACAGTATAATTATTGTAATTTAATTTGCAGCAGTGCTACATCGCTCGAATTTATGCCCCCGAATCCCCCGAACCAAAAACGATGTTGTTTCGTCGTTTTTGGATTTTTTTTTTTTTTCCGTTCAATTAGAGATGAAGCAAACGAAGAAAGAAGAAGGGAAGAAAGAAAGAAGGGAAGAAGAAGCAGAGGCAGACGACGGCGAGGGTGGAGGTAGACGGCGGACGAGCTGCGACGATCGGACATTTGGCCGGAATATCGGACGGTCGGCCGGAATGCAGGGGGGCCTCTGTGTGTGTGTGTGTGTCTCCCTCTCTCCTCTCTGCTCTCCCTCTCTCTCTCTCTGTCCCTCTTCCCCCTGCATTTTGAGCTAAAAAATGGTCGAAAATGGAAGAAAAAAAGAAAAAAAAAATTCTAATGCCCAAAACGATAGGGGGGGCAAAGTTTCGAACTCTCAAACATTATTCTTTAATTTGCCACCTTGCTATAAAGAGATTTGGGTATGTGCTGACAAAAAGGGAATCTGACAAATGGCACAGTTAATGAATAATTATTATATTTCAAATTTAAGGAAAGAGGCGGTTAGCTTGCTCGTTGGGAAGCAGAATTGAGACTATTTTAATCACAAAAAAATAAAATAAATATTTTAATTTAATAAGACAAAATATTATAATCATCATATTTTTTTCTCACAAAAAGTAAAAAAAATCAAAAAATTATTCCTAAATAAGATTTTTTAGCCCAGGCTAAAATAGTTAAAAAGTCAACTCACTTTTGTTTTGTTTTTTTTTTGTATGTTTATTTTTGTGTGTGTGTGTGTTTTTTTTTTTGTTATTGTTTTCTTGTGTTTTTGGAAACACTATATCATGTGTAGAGTCGTGTAAAATATCACTCAATCTGTTAAAATCGTATTGATTCATATTAATTTATAGTGTCCTAACCATTAATCGCGGATTAAATTTTAAAATTTATAATCCGCTTTCCAAATCGTTTCGCTCCGTTTATAGTTAATTTATATATATATTTTAAACTCTAATGAAATATCAAAGTAAAAATGAATGTGTGAGAGATTTATGCAAATTAGTGTTATATAATATACAAAATGCTTGATAATTGATTATAATGTTTTTCAATCCATCAATCCGTTCAAAACTGTCCAGACCATAATTTACCGATTCGTCAATCTGCTAATCCGCTATTCGGTTTATAATCTTACTCTCAAACCACCCGAACTGCACCGTGCACACACCTAATCATATGCACTTTATAAGACCATTTTGAACATTGCATCGAATATTTTATCAAAATCAAATTTGATGAAAAACGAAAGAAACATTAGTTCTAACGTTGTCATCAAACTGATATCAGATGGAGGTAGAACCAAATATTTCATCAAATGAAACGAGCGTTTATCGTTCATCAAAATTGTAGGTGACTATTGGGTTTAACATTCTCTCAGATGTCCTTCTGGACAAAGGACTTTCTTTATCTGAACCCAATTTTTGTCTAATGCTCGGATGTCCTTCCAAACAACCGGGCATTTGATGAAAATTTTTAATTTAACGTTAGAGTCCACCGTACTAGGTCAAAATTTTCATCAATTTTTTACTTAAATTTGATGAAAAGTTTGATATAACGTTAGAGATGCTCTAATTAAAGAAGAAAATAGCATAATTTAATATTTTTTGTCATAATTAAAAAAATATATCATAACTAAACACAACATGAAATATAACTAAAAATTTCACGAGTCATAACTAAAGAATAAAACTTGTCATAACTAAAGAAGAAAATGACATAATTAAGGATACATGTGATACATCACTTTGAAGGGAATGTACATTAGAATTTCCCCTTTTCATCCTTAATTTTTTTTTTAAATATTTTATTATTACTATTAAATTTGAATTAAATTTTTATTATTAGTTTTTTTTTTTTAATATAAAACAAGTTGTGTTCAGTTTATGAGGCTGAAAATAACAAGTTAAAAATTTTCATTAATTAAGGATAGACATCAAAATATAATTAAAATATGATAGAAATACCTCTAGTGAAATTTTATTAATCTCCTTTTTTACAACCTCATATAACCACATTATTCATTATAGAGAAAGAATGGACAACTCAAGTGATAATCTTCTCACACATTTGAGATTTTCTGATCTTAGATCTAGAGTCAATAGTCTCAGATCTAAGTTCATTAGTTGTAGATTTAAAATTGTGGAAGTAAATGACAAAGACGATGCTTTTTAATAGTAGATTTGAGACGATAGAAAATGGTGAAGATGAAGAGCAATTGTGACAACCAGTGAAAATAATGAGTAGAGAAAGAAATCGATAGAGATGATGAAGCCTTCACCAATACATATTGTCCACAACAAAGACAAAAGGAGATAAACCAAAATAAAAATAAAAATGAAAGTGTTGTAAAGACTTTAGGCCTTGTTTGGAAACAAATTTTTTTAGTAATTTTTTGAGTTTTTGACTAAAATATGATGTAAAAAAATTAATATGTTTATGATGACATTTTAATATTTTACAAAAAGATATGTAAAAAATAAAGAGAAAAGATAATCTTTAATTTTTTAATATAAATTGTCAACTTTTTAATTTTTTTTTAACTTTTAAACTAAAAAGTTAGATAAAAAATTCCTTTTGGCTCTTCTAATGCCCTCCCATGATCAACAAAACTGTAAATATTGACATAATGGAAAAGAAACAAACAACTAAAGAAAGATACCGTGACGAGAAAAAAATAAGCAAGTTTTATTTATGATAAAAATTGACCCCTTGACCTCTCACAACTAAAAATATAGCATATGCCAATTTATGTTGTCTTCAAATTTTGAATTTGTAAAGAGTTTATCAATAGAGTGAAAATAAACCCTATAAAAAAAAGTGAGAATAATTAGACAAATTATACCTGTAATCTTTGTCATTTGCAATTTATTTGAAAGAAATGAACATTTCAAATCGACTGAAAGTAGTTAAAACCTTATAGAATGGAATGTAATTATTAAAACTACATAGGAAAATCTATATTTTGCTAAAGCACAAGAGGGTACTTGTAACCTGCCCAATGAAGAAAATGATTCATTCAAAAGAGAATGAACATTTCATAGTTGATGACAGTAGTTGAACACTTTAGAGGATGAAATGTAATTTACAGTACATAGGACAATCTATATTTTTAATAATTCGTGAGGAGGCAATTGTAATATGCCCATTAAATAATTTTAAATTTTGTAAAATTTCTTTAGACAACCCAATTAATACTAGAATTACCTCTCCCTCTCAAACTCTAACCTTAACCCCCCACTCCATCTGCCACTCACCACCAATAACTTCGGCCGCCCTCCCCAGCATCTTTAGCCACCACCCCAACTCCTTTCCACCATCCCCCATCCCTCATCTTCTTATTCCTCCACTGTTAGCCAATCTCTCTATTCCTCCACCTCCTTTCCACCATCCCCCATCCCTCATCTTCTTATTCCTCCACCGTTGGCCGATCTCTCTATTCCTCCACCTCCTTTCCACCATCCCCCATCCCTCATCTTCTTATTCCTCCACCGTTAGCCGATCTCTCTATTCCTCCACCGTCCAAATAATCACTCTAAAAAACAATCACACACTAGTTTACATGGGTTGCAAAGATGGGCTGGGCTAGGATGGCATCAGAGGGTTAGGGAATTGTGGAAGTGTGGGTTGCAAGGATGAGGGGGCATAGGTCACTAGAAGGACTAGGAAGTAGCTAGGGGTGGTGGTAGAGGGGTAGCAAGAGAGGGTGGGAAGGGGCTCAGTGGTGTGGGCTGTTGGTGGAGAGCGGCTGGGTGTGGTTACCGAAGATGGTGGTGATGGGTGGTTGCTGCGCAAGCAAGGTTTAGGGTTAGCTTCAATTTTTAAGAAAGTACCACTACACTACAGTAGACCTGACCTGTGGTTCATTATTCAGGTTCCCAAACAGCCCCTATAGGTTTGGACTTGGGCTGAGACTCTATAGACAAACCAAAGTCCATACTAAAATCTGCATTCAAGGCCATGCTTTCAGCAGCACACAAGCACCGACACAAGTAAAATCTACAACAACAAAATAAAGTCTGTTCAACCAAAAAATAATAATAATAATGCAAGAAATGCATTTAGAAGGCAGGCTGTACAGTGGGAATAGGAACCATTTTCGACCATTTTCCCAACACCAAGTTTGTCAATCTATGTAGGCATTATCCATACTGATTTTTTTTCAAAAAAGAAAAGAAAAGGAAAGAGAAGAAGCAGAAGCTAACCTGAAAACGCTTTCTAATGTAGTTTACCCAAAAAATATCACGAATTTCATCTAAAATAAGCAAGAACACGAGTATAAACACTAGCTTAAAACCTACCACTACTACCATAAAACTAAACAAACAAACCAAGAGGGGACTATTATAACAAACCCTAGCCATGATTTTCAAAATACCTCAAAGCTGACAAAATCTAACAAATGCATGGCTTACTCCACTGCAACCTGCAGACAAAACACTGCCAATGAAAGAGCAAGTAAAGTGCAAACCTTCAGCTTTTAGCCCCTCTTCTCCGCTTCTTTCCACTCTTCGCACCAGTTTCTTGCCCCTTCGATGCATCTGGTGACTTCCCCTTTGCGCTTTTTGGCGTTTTCACTGTCTCGGGCGACTTTTCCTTTTCCTCAGTTTCTTTCGCCTTTGCTGAACCAGCTTTCACCTTGCCAGAACCATTAGCATTAGATTTGTTGCCACTTTTGGAGGCTTTACCCTTGGATTTGCTGGCAGTTTTCGGAGTGTCTTTGGTGGTTGCTTTTGGGGTGTCTTTGGTGGCAGCTTTTGGGCTATCCAACTTGAACTTGATGCCGGTCTTCGGTGTGCCACCATCAACATCCGTGGATTTGCCAGCTGATTTGGAGGCATCAACAACAGATTTACCGCTACTTTTTTGAGAATTATCCTTGGATTTAGCACTGGACTTGGAGGTGTTATCCTTTGATTTTCCATCAACTTGAGTGTCATCCTTGGATTTACGACCAGATTTTGTAGCATCTCCTTTTGATTTTCTGGAGGAAGCTTCTCCACCTCTGGCAACCATTTGCAAATTCAGTGTCAACATTTTATTTTCAAGAATTAACACAAATATTACACCAAGAAATGACTGTAGGAAAGTTACAAACCGTGAACCCTCCCTCTTTCCTTGCTTAGCTGATGGTTCGGGGTTTGTTTTTGCTTTCTTCTTTTTGTGCCTGGTAGCAGAAAAGTAGATCATCAGCAAGAGAAATCCAGGGATATCTAAAGAACTGACAACCTAATTTTATAACTACCCATAAAAAAAAAATGATGACAGAAAAAGAAAGAAATCACTACACCTATGAAAAGTTTTTAAGACATTAAAATTTTATCCATGACAAGGATAGAAAAATATATATATGATGCAACGACAACAATGCATTCAGGAAAGTCAAAACTCAATGAACCAGTTCAAGAAATGAAAGCAGCTAAAAATTCAAATGAAAAAAAAAAAAAAAAAAAAAAACATAGAGGAAGAGGACCAAACTATCATCATTCCAGGCATTCCAAACTCAACAATTCTGAAATGCACATAGGCCTCTCGCGCCCCATGTAAACAAATCAAATGAACATAATAAAGAAAAGAAAAGAAACCAAAAGAAAATGATATCAAATGCCACTGTTATCTGTTATCATCACTAACAGAAATTTAAGCAATCACATATTTGGCCAATCTAAAACCTTTGGGAGATACTGTCCTACACCGCACAATCACCAGCACCAGAAATGTTTCACAAAGCCACTTCACAGTTTAAAAGCCAAATAAAAGTTCACTAACCAGAACAGGTTTCATCCAAACAATTATAACTTCTCTACAACTATCTTTCCCATGCTAACCACCCAAACCATAACTAAAAGAAATACTTGTAAGAAAAAATATAGACAACCTAATATTCAGGGACAAATATGAGTACTAGATGCAACTTGCCTATTTTATCCTTGTTTCTAAACAAAGTTACCATCTATTAAATAAAATTAATGAGCAATGTGAAAATCAGTCAATATTCTAAAACTATATCAAAGTACTTATTGGTCAGCTACATTAATCTATTATCTGTCATTTTTCGTATGTAGCAGATCCCATTTCAATTACATTGCAAGCCATTACAGCACATAAACTTGTATATTCAGTAACCCAAGTGTACTGACAACAGCAATTTCATGAAAAGAAGAAAACTGTAAACAGTGTTAAGCATGAGGTACAAGAAAAAGAAGTAACAATATGCAATTGAAATCCTAATTAGTCATCCAAGGCAAAACTTTAAAAAGAAAACGAAAACAAAAATAGACAACTACTGGTTCCTTAACACATAAACAGAAAGAAAACATTAAAAACAGACAATTTATGGTTTAAATAAAGGAAAAAGTGACTACATGGGCAGAAACTAGTAGACCTCCAAAAGCTCATACGGATTGTTCTCATAGAGCCAAAAAAAAAATCCTGAAATTTAAACTGATCTTACTAAGAAGACAATTTCTCAACAATATATTACAGCACGAAACAGACTACACATAACATCAGCCAACTTTAATTGTTAAAAGCAAAAAATATTTCAATTATTGCACATTGAATTTATCATGCAAGATGTGACTTCACAATATTCGTGCAACACTTGCGCAGATTGAATGTTTTGCCTTTTTTGCCAGCAGAAAATCAACTCTGAAATTTTATTCCATTATTCAAATATTCTGCCTTGATACATTATTCAAATGTTTAAGGGAACTTGGAGAAGTTGTCTCCAAACTGGATTTTGCAAACTTGAAATTAGCAAATCGTACCCAAGGAAGTATTATACAGCTTTAAACCATTTATGAGTATACAAATTTATATTCTTTACGGATCAATCAAACAAATGCAATCTGGAGCTTTTACATTAATTTCCTTTTATGTTATAAGCGTATACAACAACACAATAGAATAAACATACAACACAAATGCCCAACTACATTCTCAAGAGCACAAGAAGCATAATTATGGCAGCTAGTATCCTGAAGAAGAAAATCCTAGAAGCATCTCCCCTTCTAGATTTTCCCCAGCCATGCATTCCCTGCCCGCTCGGCTCGGCTTGGCTTGAATTTCCCCGCCCCGATGAGGAAGTGGGGGCAAGGACAGGTTTTTCTCCCCCCAACCCGTTCTATCCCACCCCCGCCTTCATTATATTTATTGAATATATTTATATAAATAATTCAATTTTTCAATATAACAAAATTAAAACACTAAAATATTACACTCAACATTCAATTTCACTCATTTATTTCTTATCTTCCATCTTTTAGCCCTCATTAACTATAAACACCTATCCGTAATATATTATATTCTCTCTAATTTTTATTAGTATCCCCATTTTTAAAGTTACAATATTAATCCACCTCCCCGATTCGCCCCTCTCCCGATATGATACGAAACAGGCACACTCACACAATAATGCTAGGGTTTCAGTTAGTGAAAATGAAGGTATACATATTCTAAAACATTAAGAGCAACAAAGGCATGTAACCTATGCGATCCATTATCAAATGCACACTAACTTAAAAGTTCCTAGGTGAGGACGTGGCGGCAAGCAATCATTGAAAAAAATTAGAGACTACCGTTCTGTGTTTGGTTATTTATTACCCGCTAATAAGCAACATAATTTGAAAGCCCCTTAATGAATTAATTGCATTTATGGTATTAATGAAGTACAAAAATAGAGCACAATCTAACAGCCAATTTGCAATCAAATATGAATTTTATACCAAATGCATGTGCGGCTTCAGGATACAGAAAGAACAGAAATGTTTTTAGTAAATTTTAACCAACAAACCACTGTCCCCATTCACAACTTCACCTTGACCAATATCGAAGCACTATTCATAACTTCAGATGAGGAACATTTCATGATACAATCCAATTTTTTTTTCTTTTTCATGGCTTTTAAACAATACCTCTCAGTAAAATGAAAAATAGCTAACCATTGTGGCAGGAAACTAAAAAATTGCTGAGCAACAAGGCAGCAAACAGCCTGCCTGCAATGCTGAAGATGACGACCATTGTGGGCAACTTATTCAAGCATAAGACCTCACTCAGCTTCCAAGTCCTTGGCAATGAAATCCATTCCGCACAAAAACAAAAGACTACTATATGTAATCTCACCACTACAAACTGGAGGTCATAAATACGAGGCTTACAATTTCTTCTTGACCACATAACTACCACATGGTCCTCTCTCTTCATTTTAGAGAGACTAGTCTCCTCTAATGCTCTTCTCCCAAACCTCCAATAAGGTTTCCGTATGTCATTAAAGAACAAAAATGAGAATCTCAAATGACAGTTTCCCTATATCATTACCAAGCATTGCCCTGGAATAGAAATAAATCTTCTTCTTCTCATCCACTTTCTGCCCCTATCAACTTAGAATATATCTTGTATAAAAAAAAATTCAACTATTGATAGATCCTGGGTTTTAAAAGGTAGAGACATTATAAATATATTGCGTTGATTTAAAAATCAATTTTTTGTTCTTTTGTTTTTCTTTGATTCGAAAATTGAATGTGTTTTTATGATTACAAAACATTGACCTGAATGTACATAGGCAAATGCGTGATCGTCGTTAGAACCAGCTCATATCAGAATTTCTTTTGTAAAAAAACTAGTTATAACAACTGGTTGAACTGCACGAACCCAAAAACAGCAGGTTTCCCAACAGAGCCCTAAAGGTACACGTCTGAACCTGATTAATATTCTATAACTGAAATGTCAGTTAGCTCAAACAAGAAGCTAAAAATTTGTCTTAAAGTTGTATTAATCAATTGGCAATTGGCATTGACATGAAATACAAAGGCTACTTTTCATCAGAAAATAGCATGTGGAAAAATAAGAAAATGGAAAAAGTTGCATCCAGATTTCTGACTTCACTAACATCCATCCAGCTATTAAATTTTCAGTTATTTGGTTTTGGAATATCTCAAGTTCAAAGAATAATGCGACATCTTCTGAACTAAAAAATTTACAATCAACGAAAAGCAACACATACATGTCAGAGGAAGGATCAGGACTTTGGCATTCAGTTGCTTGTTCCTGCCAACAAAAATATCATCCTTAATACAGAACAAAGGGAAAAAGTATAAGAACCAAAATATGAATCAGCCCATTACCCACCCCATCTGACTCAGAGTTACCACTGACTAACTCCCATCTTTCATTTCTAAGATTTAATATCTCTTCATCACCATCTGTATATGAGACCTGTTCAAGAACAGAAAGAATAACTAATTAGGAACAATCAACTCCACATGAATAACATTGGCATATAAAGCACAGCACATGCAAGTAAAACCTACATAGTAATCATGCACAAAATTGGAACCTAGTATATACAAGCAAACTAACCTTATGTTTCTTTTTTACAGGATCAAAATCATCAATAACACCTTCATAGAACCTGCAATTAACAAAGGAATTATAAACAATGCAAGTTCGTCTTGAATTGTTAATGAGATAACTACACAAAAATATAGTGGTGCAGCCATAGGTTTTCAAAACATGAATTACAATAATTCAAATAGAGAACCTCATAAATTAAGCCCATACTCCCAAACGCAGCAGGGGTAATATCTCAAATAGATAACAAACGAGCAGTGCAAAATAATACAGCCAAGCTCAGATATTTTGAGAGCAACCAATTAACAAAACTAAATTCAACTATCATTAAGTAACAATCAACAATTAGAAATAATAGAATTTAAATTCAAACAAAGGGAGAATAAGTGACTCGAACGGGAAGAAACCAGCAATTGTAGAGGGGAGGGATAAATGTCAGCAACAGAAACAGTAGGAGAGAAGAAAAGGGAGGGTCAGCAGCAACAGTAACAAAGGTGAAGGAGAATAAAAACAGTAAAAGAGACAGACAGCAATGGAGGGAAAAAGTGAGAAGGATAACACCAGTGGCAGAAAACAAGGACGGAAGATCAAAGGACAACTGGAGTAGCAGCAGAGAAACAGCCAAATCAGAAGAAGAAGAGAGACAGATCCAGAGAAAGAAGAAACCAGCAGAGAATAAGAAGAAAATATAGGAAAAGAAGGAAATGCTGAAAAGAACCTGCAGAGATGCAGCAGCAAAAAGGTAGAGATGCAGAGACAAGATGGAAAAAGAGAGGGAAAGGAGAGAACCAGCAGTCAGGAATTTTTTGTCTTCAGTTATGAACAAAACCCTTTTATCATTTCAGGGACAGTAAATTGAAGACAAAAAAATTCCAAAACCTCACCAAAGTAAAATAATTCCACTAGCTTAGGTGTAACCAATCCAGAGAGTGACCTATCCAGAGAGTGATAAGCCAAAACATAATCCCTAACTCCACTAGCTTAGGTGTAACCGATCCAGAGAGTGACCTATCCAGAGAGTGATAAGCCAAAACATAATCCCTAATTCCACTAGCGTAGGTGTAACCGATCCAGAGAGTGATAGGCCAAAACATAATCCCATTAAATTTACTCCACACCAAATATAATAAACAACTGAATAAAAGAAACTAAATACTAAACTACCCCAAAACTTCATCAAAGTAAAATAAGAAATAACAATGAGATTATCACATGCTTTATTACCAACTAATGCGACACTTAAAAATACACCAACAATATCCAAATATAGGGTCTATAGCATACCACTTTGAACCATGGTACAATTAGTTTCTACTTCGGGTTTTATAGTGAAAGCGGAAAAATCACATCATCAAAATATCATTCTCATTAAGTCACAATGAAATGCAAAATTAACTCCAAATTTAAGGTCTAATAGCATACCCCTTTAAACCATGGGCCAAACACTTTATTTTTTGTGTTTTATAGTGAAAGCAGGAATAATGCATTGTGACCACATTATTCTCATTAAAGTCATAAAGATATGCAATAATTACTACCAATTCTTATTTTATTCATCAGAGCTCATCCTAATCTCTGTCGGGATTACTGCCTTAGCCCTGTCCTATCATGTGTGTATAATGGAGTTGGTCATTTATTGACGGATTTTTCGGGATTTCTCTTTCTTTGGAAGAAAAAGATTGATTACTTGGAAAAATATTCGACCTCAGGAAGCCCAGTCAAACACTGAAAGGATCACAATTAAGGTGTGTATGGTGTAACTTTAATGATGATGAAGGTCTTACTCTTTTCAGAAAGAAAGCCATATAGCATGTGAAAAGTAAAATAAACAATGCTTAGGATCACAAATGATTTTACAGATATATATACAAAACAACTAAATTTTCTTATACAAACATGCTCTAGGATAATTCTATGGAGAGACATGTAAAATGGGCTTTTCGGTGATTGTGCAGACAGATATATAAGAACTCCATAATACCTACTACATCACCACATCATTAAGCTGAACTGGGGTTAAAATGTTGTTACTAGTAATTTTTTATAATTAAAAATAAAATTAGGGATGTGTCAAAACTGGAAGTTTGACAACACCACACAGCCACTAAAAGGCAAAATTACAACATAAAAGACAATGTATCATGCTTAAGACCAAAAAATAAAAATAAAAAAAATAGAAAAAGTAAAAGGAGATTCTTCAGCTAAAAGGTAAGGACTTCCTTCAGCTAGTACTTATCAGTGACCAATATAATTATAAAACCTAATGGAAGCACTTACATTTCATCTTCTGGCCACCAAACCTTAACCTTTTTACCGATTAGGTTACCGTCATACTCTATAGTATCAGATGCCTGACATGAAACAATAAACAACTTATTAGAATTGGTTCAAAAAGTACAAATGATAACAGAAATCAATTCAATAATTACACAAAAGACATAACTGCACCATTGCTCGCCCATGCAACAAAAGAACTTACATAGCTAAAATGTAAAGGCAAACAGAGTCAAAGTCATCACAGCTCTTCAGTTATTCTTTCTACATTTTTTTTAAAAGTTGTGCCGCTCTTTTACAGACGAAAGGAAGAAGGGAACAAAGTACCACAAAAAGAAAGTAAAAATCAAGATGATGTTGAATATGAAATGACTGAACTGAATAAAACAAAATGCATTTTACAAGTGGGTGCACCATATGGTAGGCACTTGGCTATTGCATGCATTAAATTTAATGTAATATAAACTAAAAATCAAACTATGCTGACCAATAGAAAATTTAACCACATCAATGGGGTTGAGAAAACTTACTTTCTCTTTTCTTTCCCTGGCGTACGCTTTCTCTTGGAACTCGTCTTGGTGGTTTCCTCTATGCGGCCTTCATCTTTATCTAATTTTGAGGCAAGTTTTGGGGAAGAAACTGCTTCCTACAAAATGCATAAGAATATTTTTTTTAGATACTTGGTCAATGAAGACTCAGGCACAAATAGAACTGCACAATGCCAAAGCACATCAAAAAGTACTTTGTCATCATCATCGGTGGGTGATTTTGTTAAATCCTTCACCAAAGTAGCTTTTCCACGTCCACGTCCTCGCCCTCGCCCTCCCCCACGCCTTTTCCCATCTTCCTTCTTCTTTGATGAGGGCCCATCCACTATGTCATCTTTTGCATCTACCTTCCTAACACAATCTTTCAATGGTTTTTCCTCTGAATCACTTGTCCCACCTTCACTCTTTGATTTATCCGTCGGAGCCGGAGTCTTCTCCTCAGTACTCCCAGCAAGAGCCTTCTTTCCTGAGCGTCTTTGGGGCTTCACTTCCAAATCACTTGTACCATCAGATGCTTTCTTAGAAACAACATTGGCAGATAGTGCAATGTCTTGAACCAAATTGTCTCTCTTCTTTGGTCGTCCAGCCTTCTTCAGACGACCCTCATCAGGAACACTCCCACTTGGGGATGGGGAAGCAACATTCATTGACTCACTCTCTATTGCTTTTGGTGAGGAAAGCTTAACATTCTCTTTGTCATTTTCTGAAGTCACAGCCACCTCAACAGACGGCTCCTCAGAAGGTGAACCAGGGACTTCCTTGCTATGACTTGTTTGACGGTCTGCCATTCTTTCAGATACTTTATCGCTCTCAACTCTAGAGGAGTCAGAAGGTTCTGTTGAATTGATTAAAGAGTTTAATTTCTGTCCTCTTTTCTTGGATGTTTGTTCGGGCTTAGACTCTGATTTTTCTATCTTCCCACTGTCTGAATCATCAGGTTCAGCATTGCTTGTTACAATAGTATCAACTGACTGATCAACCTGGTGAGCATGCTCTTGCTTCTTTGAAGACTCTGGATCTGCCAATCTGTCTTCATTCCCAGTTTCTGCAACACCATTACTCATCACTGACTTTGGAGATCCGTCCACAGCAGGATGATCTTCTTCAGGACGAGTCTCTGTCACACTTTCTTTTGTCATCTGATCCTAGAATAATGACATCCAGACAATTAGTTGCAGGTTAAGGTTGGTCCATCATTTTATGAATTAACTCACAATTAGATATACAAATCAAAAAGTAATATAAACTATCAGGACATGCCTGGGTTGCCCCATCGGAAGATGCCACAGTCAACTTGTTCTCATCAGCCTGACGCAATTAGTACAAGAAACGACAATTTCATAAGTAAAAACAGAACAAATAACAACTAGAAGTTAAAATGGATGAAGCCTAGAACTATAAATTACAGAAAACAGATATAAATTGATGACATGCCTGAGCTGCCCCCTCTGAAGATGCCCTAGCCAACTTGCTCACCTCAGTCTGAAGAAAAACAATACGGCACAATGAATACCAAATCATGATTACATCTATGCTCACATATGCGCACACACAAAAAAATCCTTTTCTGACGTAATGACAATTTCAATAAACAAATATTAGCATCAATGAAGACATTTACTATAAGTAGACAACATTATTTTGAAATGAAGGAGATCAATCTGACATTCCTAGTGGATGAAGATTCCTGAATTGGTTGCTGGACAGTGAAGAACAATATTAGCAATCCAACATAACATTTATTTCCCATGGTTGATGATACAGCTACAGGTTATATAAGCCATTCAGATTCTCACGTCAAAACAAGCAAACAAGGCAACTAGAAAGCAACGCAACAATGGTGCAGGCAAATTCTGATGTTATAGGCAATGTTACATGGACTCCTCTAAATTTGTGAAATAACCTTGTAGGACACTCAACGCTTTAGTAAGGGTATAGGATATGTGTATGAGATGTTTGGCTAGACATGCACTGACTAAGTATGCCTAAGTAATTGACTTTACAACTATGCACAAGAAACCCATTTTATGTGTAAAATGCTCTAATATTAGTTTGTAGACAACATTTTACCTTTCAAAATTAAAAGTTCAAAAAAATTACGAAACCTTGCCATGCCGTAGACTCCTAGGCCTTGTTTGGTTTGTGTTTTGAAATATTATTTCAAAAATAATTTTCTAGAGAGAGTTTAGAAAATTTGAAAATTTGTTTGGTTGTATATTTTGAAAATAGTTCTAGAGTTTTGGAGTTTGGGATGATTTGATATTTTTTTGTAGTTGAATAGAAAGATGTGAGAGAAAAAGTGATTGTGAAGGAGAGGAGAGAGAAAAAATGATTGATTGATGTGTAGTAGAGAGAAAAGTGATTTTGGATTTTTTTTTTTTTTTTTTGGGGGGGGTAATTTTCAACCAAACATATTTTTGGAATTTTTTCTCCAAAAACATGTTTTGAGAGACAAACCAAACATGCCCCTAGTGTCGTTGGACATGAGAATCAGATGAATCCAACACTTCTACAAATACCCGCGCACCCAAAACCCACCCAGGTCCATAGGTTATAGGTAAAAGGTGGCAGTGAGATTATAAACTAGAGATGGGTGTGTAGGTGCAGGTCATATAATTGCACAACAGTTGCTACTACAACACTCTGGTTAAGCAGGATTGCTCATGCTAGAGGCAGGGCCAGGAATGCAGACCAGGCAGCAGTGGTGGCAGAAGCCTAGTAGGAATGTCAGCATTAACCTTGTATTATCATAATTAAATACGAAAATACTATCATAGAAATTGTGTTACCTATGTGCCATCCATCAATTACTTTTGGGTATTAGAACAAGGATATTACTGGAAAAGAAAACATTGGCAATGGTAGCAGCATTATCAGGTTCTTATCAGACTTACTATTAGAAAAATTGGGCAAATTAAGCTCTGCCATTAGGCCCATCAAAAGTTTATAAGCAGCAGCTTATTCAAACAATATTTAACTCCAGCCTCTATCCCCCTCGCACTTCTTAAGAGTAATAAATAAAAGAATATTATGTTGAAAATATAAGTGAGCATACCAACTGTTCTCCACAAGCATTGTCATCATTATCTCCAACAGCACCATTTGTTCCATCACATATAGATGAAATTACTTTGATATAATCATCTGAAGAAAGTCCCAAAGATTTCATAGCTTGCATCAGGTAAGGTTTGACCTTTATAGCACAGTTTTTAAATACTTTCTCCCCCAATTTCCGAGCAATTGGCAAAACCTCCTGAAAATAGAAAAACCACAAAGAAAATCATTAAAAAAAAAACAAAAAAACAAAAAACAAAATAAAACAGTAACAAAAACACAGTAATCCATTAGTCAATAATATTGACCTGATTGTCCTTTTTCACACTAGCTAGGATGGGAGAGATTAGCTCAAATGAAATATCTTCGCTTTCTTCCAGTACAAGAGACATAATTGTGACCATGGAGGAAAATACATTCTCTGGGTGATAATCCCTGAAAGTTCAACAAAAGCAATATCAGATGCTGAAAAGCAAAACATGTACAATTCATCATAGTAGGACTTTTTGTAGGCGATTTAAGTTAGGAAAGTAACCTTATCAGCTAATCAATTAAGTTGCTTACAGATTATTTATACCTAAAGAAAAATATATGAATGAATAAAATTAAAAAAAAAACTCAAGTAAAAAATTTCTATAAAGAACAAACCTATCAAAAAGTATAGAACCTGCAATGGTGAATAGAAGGCAGTAATTTCAAAAATGGGGAATCCAAAATTTACAACTTTGCAACAATTTTGGCACCAACTCATGCAAAATGAACTGGCACTACAGCCTAAATTGTTTTCATATAACACAAACACATGTTCAAAGAAAAGTCACCCCTAGCTGGGGAGACCACCACCTTCTGTTGATATACATAAATATACACATCCCACAGGTTGTAAATTACGACCTATAACCAAAAATGATGACTGCTAAATTAAATGTGAGCCAAGAATGACCAATGAGAAGCAAAAGAAAACACATCAATCTGGTTTGGCTTTATTGTTTTAGGTTTTGTACCAGAATAATATATTATATAATTATATTCGATTTAAATATGAAAATTCAATTTCGGAAGATAAAGTGGATATTAGCTCATACCTTATAGCTTTTAGAAAGTGGTGAAACATCTCAACAATCAGACCATCACATTCCAGATCCAACATCACCACACATGACCTGACCTTGGCTACAGTTTCAAGAATCAAGGTCCTCTTACTATACGATCTACTGGACTTGTCAGATAAATTTTCAAAGGATGATACAATCAACCGAAAGACATCCTGTGTACACATAAAGTGGAAACTTATGAGGACAAAAAAAAATGATGACAAAATATATCAATAAAATAACAAAAATCCAGTACCTTCATCTGATCATCATCATACGGAGCATCTGGTGCAGTAATTCTTGTTATCTCACTGATGCAGGAGGCAACTGCAACTTTCACATCTACATCAGGATGCCTTAAAAGTTCATCTGCAACCAATGCCTTCATAGATGGAGAAAGTGCAGTTTGCATTGATTTTGATGGTGACTGCTCCACCCTTGACAGAAAATTCTCAACTTGCTGAAAAGCAGAACAAAAGAAGAAGATTATACGAAAGAATTTACAAGCAAATCAACCAAGTAACTCTTAGGCACTCCACAATGACTCTCTCCCACAATTCATTGTATAACTCATCAATTAATGCTGATATAGCTATTGTAATTCTTAAAAGTTTCCTCATTTCTATCATTTTGCCTTTTTTAAAACAAGTCCCTTTTTTTTTACTTGGCTTCTGTCACATTATTCCACCACCAAATATCTTTACAACACCACCTTTTTTATAGAAGTTTTTCCAGGAAAATTCTACTCATTGAAGTTTTGTTTCCCTTAATTCTGAAACACAACAATAGACTTGCATTTGCAAATATAGGGATTGTTTGGGATGTTCTAAATAAGTACACTTTTTTACTTTTTATGAAATATGAGTTGAGTTTGAAATGATATGGTAGAGAGGTGATATGACTTAAATAAGATTATGTGACTTAAATAGGCCAGTGACTTTTTAGCTTTTTAGAAGATGCCAAACTTAGCCATAGTATAGGAAAAATCTTCTCTTTGATAGTTGCAATAAGGGGTAAAGGACATAACCGTAGATAGAGACTTAGATAAATGTTTGCTCTCCATATAGTAGTACATCACGGTAGCATCCTAGTAAAAGATAGCCACTTAATACCGCCCACTCATGCAGAATCACATGGTTTGCCTAGGCAAGTGCCTAGATAAGCACCAACACAAAAAGAAGGTACCCCTTGGACGGCGTTCAAAGCCCGGGTTTCAAGCCAGTATCCTAGCTGTCTCAGTCAGGGTTACCTAGCCATTATAGACATTCAATCACCAAGTGCCCAGACAGCAGCCCATTGTTACACACGGCATATTAATTGAAAAAATCAAGTTCCATAAAATATATTTATATATATATATATTATTTGTCTTACACATTGATTCCACAAGATTCTGGCCAAGGAATGAAACATGCAACAAATAAACACACAGCCTATTAATAGAAAAACTAGTCAATCTACAAAATTTTCCACATTGCATCCTAGTCACAGAGATAAAGTTTTAATCTATGGTAGACCAAATGGCACAAATAAATAAAATAAAGAGCCCTAATTAAGGGATAAATTTTACAAACTAGACCCAAATGCCATAAAAAAAAACATGCAGTACAGCAACCCCCCCCCCCAAATAAATCCAAAACCAAAAAAAAAAAAAAAAATCCAAAACCCAGATACAAGCATGAAGTGCTGAAAAATTATAGATAACTAAAAACCCTAGAATCAAAGCCAAGAAGCAACTCAACAAATCAAAACCCAGATAAATTAGGGCATACATCAAGCAGAGGAAGGAGTTCATCGACCGAAGACGGAGGTTGAAGGAGCCTATTCCCAGCTTCTTCCAGCTGCTCCTCGAACTCTCTCTCCCCAGACGCCATGCTCTTCTCTTCTCTTTGTCTCTCTGGATTCCCCCAAAATCCCTCGATTTCAACTCAAATTTCACACCATTAAAACCCTAGAAACCATACAAACATTTTATAAAAAAAACAAATCCAAACGATTATACAGTCTAGAACACGAACGAACAGAGATTATGAGAAATTTTCTTTTTTAGACAGACAAAATTAAAATTTTTTATTAAAAAAAAAGTATATTTAAAGAGAGAAATCTAATCTGAGAAAAAAAATTTGTGGGTATTTTTGAGAGAGAGAGGAAAAAAGGGTGGGAACGAGTATTTTTATCAGCTATTGTTTTATAATTTATTTTTTGTTTTCTATTTTTGTGGTTAGTCTCTGTTCTGGGAATTTTATTTATTGACATTGAAGAGCGGCCTCGGAATCCGCGGTGGTATTGGATTTGAATTTAATTTGGAGTTTGGGGTCCGCCAATTGGATTCCTAGCTGTTGGGTCGTCGGAGCTCCACGTGGCTCTTCTCCGCACTTTTGAGTCAGTTGTGTCTGAGGCCAGCTGGGCTTGTGTTGGCCCCTCTCTCAAATTTATAAAATTAAGATAAATTATAAACATACTCCCTCTAAAGTTTATTTAAATTATAAATTATTTTTTATAATTTTAAAAGTTGGATTATGCCTTAAAGATTTTTAATTTTATAATAAATATATTTTTTATTAATAAATTATTAAGTTAATTAATAGTTTTTAATAATGTTAAAATTTTATTTTAATTAATAATTCAGATAATTTTATTATTCTATAGGTAAATAGTTAGAAATTTTTTTTTTTTAATTAATTCTGTTAAATAAAATTTTTTGACAGGGAGATATTTGTAATTTTTTAAATTACAAAAGACAATTTGTATTTTAAATGAATCTCATGAAATGTATTTAGGGTTGGTTTGGAAAGTGAGTTGACTTTTTGACTTTTTGATTTTTTTTTACTATTTTAACCTGGGTTAAAAAGGTTAGTTTGGAAATGACTTTTTTGCTTTTTAGTTTTTTTTATCTTTTTGTGAGAAAATAGTGTAATGATTATGGGTTGAATGTGATATTTTGTTTGTTGTTGTTAAAATAATTTATTTTATCTTTTATGACTAAAATAGTCCAAAAAACCCCACAAAATCCCTTCCCAAACGGTGCCTTATAATTTACCTTAATATTAACTTATATTAAAATGGGCTTGCTTTAAGATGAGGTTGACATTGATAATGAATCAAAACAAGAGGTTGACTTGAGGGGGGTTGGGTATGATTTTCAAACACTTCATTGTGAAACTATCCTTCTAGAAATAGCAGCGAGACAGTGCTAGATTTGTAATTTTCGATTACAATTTCGTTTAGGTTCTCGTTTACGTTTATGTTCTCATTCCACGCGTTTATGTTCTCATTTTCCAATGAAATTTTTTTTAAGTGGTAAATATGGGGTTAGAGCGAAAAAATATCTGAATAATTTGCCGCATCTTTGCATAAAGTTTTTAAATTATCTTTTTAAAAATTCCCATGGGATAGTGTAATTTTGTAATATTTCATATTTATTCCTATTCCTATTTATATTCTGATCCCTACAGGAGGAAAAATGATGAGGTGGCCGAGGCACGATAGGATGGGGAAAATATTTGAGTAAATTATCACTTTTAAGAAATTATGATATGTATAATATATGAGAAAATAAATTTTAGTGAGTGATAGTAAATTTTAAAATGATTAAAAATGAGAGATAAAGATGTAAAAAATAAGATAATCATTAAAATTTGAATGTTTTGCTTTTATTATATTAAGCAAGTTAAATTATATACGTGCAAAATTTATTTATTTAATATAATAAGAGGGAGAAAAAAAAATAATTGAAAGAAAATATGCCCTCTTTCCGTGAGATGGGAAAAGCTAATCCATTAAGGGTTGGTTCGGAAAGTGGATTGTCTTTTTGACTTTTTAGTTATTTTTAGGAGAAATTTTATTTCCACACACATACTTATCTCAGTACACATAAATTCTCAATGTACACACTTATGAATTTAATTAGGTATTATTTATCACATTTCACACACTACATATTCCAATTATAACCCTTAATTCAAATACTGTATCCACACTTTTCACCCAAACACACACCCAATTCAACTTGACCTACGAATCTGTATTTTTTTAATATCTAGCCCTAATTTTCTCCATTTTTGGAGCTTCAAGCATCAGAACCCCAAAATTTATGGCTTATGAGATCATAAGCTAAGAGCTTTCCATTTCTTTACCATCATCATCGTGAAAATTGGGTCAACTTAATTACAGTGATTTTGCTAGTATAAGATTGTTGATATCTATAACCTACTATTCTATGGATACCAACATACCACAGTTTTGAATGAACAATGTCAGTGTGTTCACACTTTTTCAGCAGTAAAAGCAACCTAAAAAGTTGCAGAGAAGAGATGAAGAAAGTGAAAGGAAAATCTAAGTGAGAAAAAGTGTTTTACGAAAAGACCGCCCTTCGATTTGGATTCGTTTGGTGCACCATTCCTTAAAAATGATGGAGATTTCAGCAACATCCATAACCTACTGTTCTTTGGGGCTTGCTTGAATGGTGTGATTTCGACAAGATGAGAATAAGTTGGTTAGGGTTTTGATGTCCATTATGGTCATTTATTTTAGGTTATTATTGTCATTAAAATGAAATTTCATTAAGTGTGTGCATTGAGGTAAGTAGGTTTGTGAAAATAGAATTTTCCTATTTTTAGGGATAAAAAGTCACATTTTGGAAGAGTTTTTCTATATTTTTTGACTTTTTGTGAGAAAAATAATGTAATAATTATGAGTTGGGAGCTTTTTTGATAAATCCATTTTCTAAGAGCTTTATTCCATCCAACCCATATTCTTTTTTACTATTCCATTAGGTCTAATTTGAGATAAGAAGACCAAAATACCCTTTTCATCTACTTATGTTCCATTTAGTTCACATTATTTTCTTATGTTTCAATAAGTCCTATGGGTGACTTAATTACCAAAATACCCTTAATGTGAATGCTCACACTGTCAATGTAAATGTTTATATCGTCAATGTGTAGGGGCCCGGCTCATGTCGATCCTCGTGGGTGTCCGAAAAAATTCGAGTCGAGCCGGGCCGGCCCATAAGCCAAAAAAATAGGCCCGACCCGGCCCGTTGATAATATGAATATTCACATTGACAAATTAACATTAACATTGATAGGAGTGTAAAATTGGCCTGCGGCCCGTGGGCGGCCCGAGACCAGCCCGTTGCCTGGGGCGGGCCCGGGCCGGCCCGTTCACAATATGAATATTCATATTGACATATTAACATTAACATTAACATTGACAAAAGTGTAAAATTGGCCCATGACCCGTGGGCAACTTGAAGCCCGGGCCGGGGTCAGAGTGGGCCCGGCCCGATCCGTTGACAATGTGAATATTCACATTGACATGTTAACATTCACATTGATAGGAGTGTAAAATTAGCCCGTGACCTGTGGCTGGTGGGCTGCGCTGGGTGGGCCCGGCCCGACCCGTTGATAATGCAAATATTCACATTGACATGGTAACATTCACATTGATAAGAGTATAAAATTAGCCCGCCCCCCGTGGCTGCCCGAAACTAGCCCACAGCCCGTGGACGGCCCGGGGCGGGCCCTACCCGACCTGTTGACAATGTGAATATTCACATTGACATATTAACATTTACATTGATAAGAGTGTAAAATTGACTCGCGTCCTATGGGTGGCCCGGGGCGAGCCCGGTCCAGCCTGACATGTTAACATTCACATTGATAGGAGTGTAAAATTAGCCCGTGGCCTGTGGTCGGCCCAAAACCCGCCTGCGGCTGGTAGGCTGCGCTGGGTGGCCCCGGCCCGACCCGTTGATAATGCAAATATTCACATTGACATGTTAACATTCACATTGATAAGAGTATAAAATTAGCCCCCCCCGTGGCTGCCCGAAACTAGACCACAGTCCGTGGGCGGCCCGGGGCGGGCCCTACCCGACCTGTTGATAATGTGAATATTCACATTGACATATTAACATTTACATTGATAAGAGTGTAAAATTGACTCGCGTCCTATGGGTGGCCCGGGGCGAGCCCGGTCCAGCCCGTTGACAATGTGAATATTCACATTGACATACTAACATTCACATTGATGGGAGTGTAAAATTGGCCCGTGGTCCTTGGGCAGCCCGAAGCCCGCCCGCTGCCCAGGGCGGGCCCGGCCCAGCTCGTTGACAATGTAAATATTCAAATTGACATATTAACATTAACATTGATAAGAGTGTAAAATTAGCCCGTGACCTGTTGGCAGCCCGAAGCCCGACCCCGGGCCGATGCGGGCCCGGCCCGTTGACAACGTGAATATTCACATTGACATGTTAACATTCACATTGATAGGAGTGTAACATTAGCCCGTGCCCCGTAGCTGCCCGAAACATGCCCACGGCCCGTGGGTGGCCCGTGGCAGGCCCGGCCCGGCCTATTGACAATGTGAATATTCACATTGATATGTTAACATTCACATTGATAAGAGTGTAAAATTGACTCGCGTTCCATGGGTGGCCCGGGGCGAGCCCGGTCCAGCCTGACATGTTAACATTCACATTGATAGGAGTGTAACATTAGCCCGTGCCCCGTAGCTGCCCGAAACATGCCCACGGCCCGTGGGTGGCCCGTGGCAGGCCCGGCCCGGCCTATTGACAATGTGAATATTCACATTGATATGTTAACATTCACATTGATAAGAGTATAAAATTGGCCAGTAGCCCAGGGCAAGCCCGACCCGGCCCGGCCCGTTGACAATGTGAATATTCACATTAACATATTAACATTCACATTGATAATATTCACATTGTCAACGGGCCGGGTCGGGCCGAGTCGGGCCCGCCCTGGGCTGCTGTCTAGTTTTATACTCTTATCAATGTGAATGTTAACATGTCAATGTGAACATTCACATTGTCAACAGGCCGGGCCGGCCCCGCCCACGGGCCATGGCGCGGGTTTCGGGCAGCTACGAGGCGCGGGCTAATTTTACACTCCTATCAATGTGAATGTTAACATGTTAATGTGAATATTCACATTGTCAATGGGCTGGGCCGGGCCCGCCCCGGGCTGCGGCCGGGATTTTGGCCACCCATGGGCCGCAACCCAATTTTATACTCTTATCAATGTGAATGTTAACATGTCACTGTGAATATTCACATTGTCAACGGGCTGGACCGAGCCCGCCCCGGGCCGCCTATGAGCCGCGGGCAAGTTTCGCGTCGCCACGGGACGGGGGCCAATTTTACACTCCTATTAATGTGAATTTTAACACGTCAATGTGAATATTCACA